GCATAATCACCAACCGCCACCTTGAAAACTCATCAACAGCAATACATCTTTACTGAGCTACTAACAGACTACCTGGTGACACTCCGCTCAAACAATACCACTCAAGTACTGTGGAGTCAATATTTAATCACCAAACAGTCAAAATCCTGCATTCAGACACCAAGGAATAAAAATTATGCATTCAAGTTCTAAGTTATTTAAGTTCCTGCATTCAAGAGCTATATCAACAAAATATTTTATTTAATCCCTGAGCAGTCAAGATCTTTGTCAAAATGCAAATAATTAAATTCTTACATCAATCGTCAACCAATCAAGATCCTGCATTTTATCCATAACCAATCAAGATCCTGTATCTTATCCATAACCAATCACGATCCTGCATTTGAGCAATAACCAATCAGTATCCCTCCCCCAAAAAATCGAATTCCGAGTCAAGACGATTTATCGAAGCCTCAAACGAACCTTCGAGACTATAGTGTCGTTTTCAGCCTGATAATAAGAAGTATCTAATATATACTATAGGACTAGGCGTGTGTCTGTCTGTCTGTGTGTGTGTCTGTTCTGGGCAGCCGAAACGGCACAATCGTTTTTCATCAAACTTGTTGGAAAAATTGCAAAAAATTCGTAGAGTGGAACAAACCTGGTCCCATGTCGATGGTTTTTAGATGGCATTAATTAAGAATTTTATTTACGATGGAAAACGATGCAAGTCTACAGACTTGGCGCACCCTCATTCGCTGTACGCTGTCACGAGCGTTAAAACTTCCACAAGGGCAACGAAAAGGCCCGCTATCACCTGTTGTATTCCTATAATCTTTAAAGCTGTCTGTGGTCTAGTGTAGATATTAATGACTCAGTGACTGGCGAACTTAATGACCCTGGCTGTTGAAACACCTAAATACAATTACAAAGAAAAAACAAAAAAGTTTAAAAAACAACGACTAAGGGGCTTCGGTGGCCATAATGATAAGGTACAAGACACAATCTAATAAGACGTGTCGTTCAGTATAGACGGGAAGAATCAGAACGACAGATGAATGATACTGATGTTGACGATAATGATATTAGTGATGTATTTTTAAGGCTGATATAAAAAAATGAAAACTTATGCCTGTAAATAGGTGATACTATTCCTTACAAGATCAATTACTATGGATGATATTATCCCATTTATGACTTTTGTGGAGATAGTCTACAAAAGTAAATATTAAAAGAGGAGGATAATTAATAAAAAAGACATGAAAGGGTAAAAGAAACACAAGAGAAAACATAAAAAAAAACATAGATAATATATAAACGAGGAAGTATAAATATGTGATAAATATTCCTCCAAGAAAATGATGAAGACGAAGAAGAATATAACACTGGAGGAGGAAGGCACCTCATCTATCCTCCACCTCTGTTTCCTCGGGGATAAAAATAATCCTTAAAAAAAATGAATAAAGGATATTATTATCAGGTGATTCTTTTCCTCAACGGATCAGGCAGTGAGCGGTGATAATGATCCAGCGGCATTTAGAGCCTGATCCATTGCTGATCCTCTACGAACGCTCTTAGTGTTGGATTAAACATTATCATTGATCCAGCAGCTGGTCGGGTCCACTGGTCACACTTAGTTTGGGTGTTGGTTATGTTCAAGGTCCATCCTGCATCACTCTGGATGTATATTGTATATATTAAAAAATATTATAGATCACCTGAAGATTGGCCCCCTGGATTATCTTACCTTAAGATTAACCACCCTAATGCTAACCTAACAAAACCTAACCTAATCTAACTCTGCAGGTAGCGTTAGGGTCTTTAATCACCAGGTGAAATAAGCTGCGATGCCTAATCTTCATGCGTTTCGTTGTTTACATTATTCGATTCGTTGACTGGTGTTTCAGAGAGTAATAATGCTTCGTATGGTAATTCAATGACTACTTGTTTTACTAATTCACTGGATGCTCAATATTCGGTCTCAGAATATGTAGAGTTTCATTTACATTAGGGTGTAAAAGAGACAATTCGCATTTTAAGTTTTTAAAAATTATAGAATCGTCAGAAGAATCTTGTAAGCTCGTAGCAATGGTTTATTTTGGCAGAAGTCAGCTGTGAGGGGGCAGACGGCAGGGGCGGAAGGTAAACAAGTGAAGAACAACTTTCCTGTGTATTGTTTTATTTCACAGCTGTGTGTGTCACTTTATCTCGTTTTTATCATCTGACAAACTTCTCTTTGTTTCGGTTTGAAGGTATTGTGAAATAGTTCTTGATACTTGACGTTATAAAAGTAGTGTTCATCCTCCAGTGCTGCTTAAAGGTTAATTAAGGCAGTTTATCCACCTGTCGTAACACAAAAAAATCTTTATATAAAATCCATTCCAGCAACAGTTTTTTACGATTTTTTTTATTCAATAGGGTTTAAAATGGACGATTAATTATCTGAGTCATGGGTTAAAGACTTGAGTAATCCACCAGAGTCGCAGGTAGTAAAAGATTTAGGTAGTCAGGTGAGTTGACTTTCTCGCGCACGTCAGGTGAAGCCTAAATGATTCTAACATCCGAGTGACGAGTCCAACTTCAAGGTGACTTTAGTGATTTAAGTCATTACCAAAAAGGAGGTCTTTCTCCAGGGAATATTAGTGGCTGCAGGATTGATTGATGGTGGTAACAACATCCTTGGCGGCTCTAGGAAAATATGAGACAAAATATTGGGCATATTGCCATCGATCTCTTGTATATCGGAAAGACAATCTTACTTATTATTAAGATCAAGAGATGACATACAGAACGTCTTGACACAGTGAACCATGAACACATCTTGTACTGTCTAAAGTAATTGTGTAACATCTGGGAGACAACACAATGAATCTATACCCAAAACTCACAACCACCCGTCCCCTGATCCCTCAGTCCACGACCCCTGACCCCACAATCCACCACCCACAAACCAAAACCCACAGAAAGAGTACATAAGACTATTATGTTTAGTAATATAATAGAGAGATAAATTGAGGACATACACACATACATATTTTCTCAGATTTACATTATTATTATTAGTATATGATTAAAAAACTAAACAGTATTAATGATATCAACAATAATAATAATAATAATAATAATAATAATAATAATAATAATAATAATAATAATAATCAGTACAGTAATAATGATAATTACGTGGAAGTTGAGATTGGTAGGTGTAGCTTCCGTGTGACCCAATTACTAAAACGTTAATCCTCTAAATCCCTGCAGGTATAATTATCAGGTGAATATCGCACAGTTTATTCCGTATAAAATAAACTTTTTTTCCTTTATGTTCGGGAGTTTTTTTTACCTCCCACGCGCACTCAGGTTAATGACAATTACTTTTCGAGTATTTAGCCGGTGTGTTGATTTAGAGATTACATGTGTGTTTGTTTCTTTGTTGTTCTTGTGCCTTTACTGTCGGTTACGTCATCTACTGATAATAAAGATAATTACCTTCTTTTATTTGTTATTGTTGTCTAATGTATGAAGCTATTTATAGTTACGTGTCTAAAGTACCTTAGTTATTGAAGCACAGACAGACATACACACACACGTAAACAATAACATAGATGGTGCACTGTGTGGTGTCTCGGATTGACAGGTTCATGAGTCTCACAGGGTTCATGAGTCTCACAGGGTTCATGAGTCTCACAGGGTTCATGAGTCTCACAGGTTCATGAGTCTCACAGGGTTCATGAGTCTGACAGGTTCATGAGTCTGACAGGTTCATGAGTCTGACAGGGTTCATGAGTCTCACAGGGTTCATGGAGGGGGACGGTAACTAACAGGACTTTTCTCCGTGATTGTATGTATGTAAAAAAAATCCTCATTAGAAACACTTGTGGGTCTGCGAGAGATACACCAAGGCTGCCCAAATACAAGACTTCAGTTGAAAAAAAAAATCAGTCAAGTCAGAAGAAGATGGAGACTATTGGTTGATCACAGTCGATGATGATATGACAGAACATGTATCTTAATTAACAGGTGTGCAGTAATTAAGACGTTCCATTAATTATCAACACAAAGTAATTACGTTCCATAGAGGTTATCATTTTCTCTCATTCTCCATCTTAACTACGTATAGATAGTCATTTAACTTTTTCTTACAATAACCTGTTAAAAAAATACAATGAAGGAATCTTGAACCTTGATACAACCCGGTTATAATCCCCGTCGAGGTAGATCAGTTTCAAGTTAACATGATTAAAAGATTTCCAGGTTCAAGCTCTCCTTTTCCTCTTCCTCCTGTGAGAGCGCATGGCAGTGGATTACTCAAGCTGCGACAAAAAGAGTCTGGCCAGAACGATGTCGAAATTGCATTGAGAATCTACTGTTACTAGATGGGGTTTCTCCTCGTCTTCCAATGAGATATAGAGAGACAGACACACACCTGTGGCAGATTAAATTTCCAGCCAAGAAAACAAATGATGATGATAATGATGATGATGATCCAAACAGCACGAAACAACTGACTGGGCTGGAGCGTGGGACGTGAATGGCGGTGCGACTCAACAACAGCAAAAAACTGGATTATTTCCCCCCGAATGAAAATGGACGCTACCACAACTTAGGAAGAATCACAAGGAAGACAGACAGCAAAGAAACTCCGCTACAAAAACCCTTAAAATGTATATATTCCCGCAAACATTATCATCATAACAGGCACAAAACCCTATACACTTATCTCAAGCCTAGAGGGAGGGGGGGGGGGTGTAACTTATAAGGTACTGATATAACAAGATAGTTTACAATATCAGGGGGATCTGTTTATGGTAATTAAAATATTGTTTAGGGCTGATGTACTCATTTTTGTTCACCTAGCCACTCTCTGGGTCTGACCACGAGAAAGAATTTACGGTACTAGAGGCTCCACCAACGGTACAGTTATCTTGGCTGTACCGTTCTCTGTAGCAGTACTTAATACGTAACTTCTTCTCGTTCTCACCCTCATCCAAACAACATGTACTGAGGAAATCACATCTTTTAACATGCTAAAGCGCCTACCTCACAGATGGCTGCGTGGAAAACCCTTTGGTCAATTTAAGTGTCAAATACAAGTAAGTTTTAAGAGGAACTGAATTGGGAGAGAGATAAAAAAAAAAGCTAGACGGAGAAAGAGAGAAAAAAAGAGAAAGAGAGGGAGAGAGCAACATATCCTACAAATATTTAGAGTTTTAGATCGAAGTCCTTTAAAAAAAAATATGTCTGTTGATTGGCGGTGGTGAAATCTGGCTCACGGACGCATCTGTGTCGTGGACGGCATGAAGGACCACCAACCCTAGCAGACGCGGGAGCGCGTCAGAATCCCATTTTTGAGGGATAATAATGTTTGAAAACTTGGAGGAAAGGATAAGAGATCAGACGGGAGGGGGGATAGAGATAGGACAGTGACGGGGAGAGGATAGAGAGAGAAGAGTGACGGGGAAGAAGATGAAGATAGAAAGAGGGAGAGGAGAGCGACGGGGGAGAGTAAGACGACAAAGAGAAAATGAAATTGACGGAATAGACAGATTAAAAACTGTACTGTAGTTCTTTTTATATATACTGATATTAGCAACAGTTTCAACGAAGAATATGAATCTATTACCTTGCAATATAAATTTCAATATACAAGGAATAACAATAATGATATCAGCTTTCTTTGATATCAACACAGCATCTTTTGTTTACTCTCACCTATCTCAGTCCAGAAAAAAAAATAAAATAAAAATTAAAAAGAAAAGCAGAAAAGTAAAAAAGGAAAATTGAAAGATTAAAAAGAAAAATATACACAAAAAGACAAAAAAAAGTTAGGGTAAAAAAATGCACTGGACACACACACACACACACACACATGTCGCCCACACCCAATCATCTTAGGTGAAGCAGCTGTCAGTATTCACACGGGAGCAGCGAGGTTGGCTTGGTAAATAATACCATTACAGCCTTGACCGAGTCTTTGTCTTTACTCACTTCTCCCTCGAGATATTTTCTGAAGCGAGCATCGTCAAGTGGGTGAAGCTGAGGCTAAAAGGTCAAGGCAAGATGAACTAGAATATTAACCATCTGTGTACGGAGTCACCTCAATGCTGAATAAAATCGTCTAACGTTAGCCAATGAAAATATTATTAAAAGTAGCGTCTCTATGGTGAAGGGATTAAGTAACTGAGAAGTCAAAGAAAATTAACTACAGTATATACGTCAAACTTTTTAGTGTTACGTAAAAAAACTGATTCTCGGTGTCACTGGATTGTTACTTAGAGAAAACGTGAATGATGTATTATATTTTTTATTTAATATTGAAAATAATCTTATAATATTGAGTACATGATGTGTATTGTTGATAATTAAGATGATTCATAAGGACTGAACTATTTATATTGTTACGGTAAAGAAAAAATAGTAGGTTGACTTTCCCACTAACACCAGGTCACGCCTCAGCCTTAGTTAACTTGTCTCTCTATCTCTTCCTCTCCCACCTTCTGCCCCGCCCCCCCCCTCTAAAAAACGACAACAACAACAACAACAACAACAAACACAGCACCGCTAAGACAAATACCGAAGACTTAACTTATAAAACATCCATTAATTCATATTTAGCATAGACAGGTAAAGAGAACTGACACATTAATTAGTTCATATTTAGCATAGACAGGTAAAGAGAACTGACAGACAGCCCTTCTACCTGTCTTATCAACGGTGTTATGATAGGCAAAATGCTCAGCAGATTATCTCATATTTCTGAGTTTTAATGTCAGGGTTGAGGCATTGTAAACAAAGGTTGATATATCCATCACATCATCTGGTATAAATTACAACTTGACTGTCTACTTATATTGGTTTTAGCAGGGAGGTTCAGGTGATGAGGGGGGAGGGGTGGGAATGAGGGGGAGTTGGAAGGGGAGGTGGAGGGGAGGAGAAAAGAGAGGTGAGAAGAAGGGCAGGAGCATGGATAGGTGGAGGAGGGGGAGAAGGGAAGAGAGGTAGGAGAGGTGGATCAGGTGGAGGAGAAGAGAGAAATAAAAGACAAGAAGGAGTGAGGGGAAGGGGAAGTATTTAGCTTAATCCATTATAACACTAGCCAGCACACACACACACACACACACACACACACACACACACGACCAAGGTGTCCAATATGAATAACTCAAGGCACTAGCGGTATTTCCCTTATGTTTTGTCAAGCGCGGAACATGAAAAGCTGGAAGGCTCAAGTAAATATTAAAAGGTACGTCTCAAGGTGGAGGGCCAAGTCTTCTCTGCCTGAGTCAGAAGAGGGTGAGACAGACAGACTGACACAGATAGACAGACAGATAGACAGACAGACACATATGAAAGATGCCGTTTGAGCCTCATGCGGACATAAACAAAGACAGCCTCGTCCTCTGCCATAGCGTGTGTCTGTTTGTTTTCAATTTTCGCCAAGAGTCTAGAGACCAGCTGTTGACCTCCAAGTGTACAGGTGTGTGTGTGTGTGTGTGTGTGTGTGTGTGTGTGTGTGTGTGTGTGTTAACAACATATCTAACCCCTAAAAAAACATATGAAGGTAGTTTAATAGAGAGAAGAAACCCCAAAGCTCAAGATGATAAAAATAAGTTACAATATTTTTCTAGTAAATCATAATATACCGTCAAGGTCCAATATACCTGGTGTATGATCAAAGAATATTCATCAAAGCGTAAATTTAGGATCTTAGCTTTACTGAATATATCAACATACTCCTCTACCTGTACAACCTGTAATTAAATATCTAACGAGTAGGACGCTGCTGACTTTAACGTAAGTCTATATAATTTGTACTATAACCGCTATCATTATACTCTCAATATATCATTATACCGTATAAGTACCAAAGTTCTCTATTAATATCATTCTGTATTTTCTTCTCTGCTTCTTTACTGTAAGTTATAAGTTTGTGTTTCTACTTAACCCATTTCTCTTCTCACTTGGAAATTCCCAGGATTTAAGAGTTTACTTGAGATATACTTTACATACTTTACGTGTGATGGATAACGCTCCGTACATTACAACTTTTTATTGTTCCCTCCAACCAGAGAACAATTTATCTTAGGAAAAACTTGAATAGTCTTAAAACTTTTCTCGAAATATTTTATGAGCAAATTCTCCAGCACCTTCATTAGTCTCATCACTGTAGAGTTTGGGGCGATTTATTTTTGTATTTTCTTATTAATATTTTTTTAAAACAATTATTAAAGATTTATCTCGTATTATTTGTTATTCTGATGGCTCCACTAAGTAACCACTACCACTACTCACTACTACCACCACTACCACTACCACTACTCACTACTACCACCACTACCACTACCACCACCAGCAAACTCTTTCACGAAAGTTCACAATCTTTTATTTATTCTCCAACCCACCGTCCATCACACCTCCCCCCCCCTCCCTCCTTCCTACACCACCGTCTTCCCTCACCCACTGTCACCAAAACTCTCTCTCTCTCTCTCTCTTTCCTGACTCACTGTCTCCATCTCTCACTATATCCCCTCACTTACTTCATTCTCTCCCGCCTCCCTCCCCACAGATCAACCTCTTCTATTGACTCGTAAGTAAGCACATCAAGTCGCCGTCAACGTCGCTATGAGTCCCGTAAATAATACACCGAAGCAGCGACAACTACGTCTTCCTTATGCATGAGCGGCGGTAAAGTTTGGTGAGGGCCAATACGCGTCGCCCTACGAGACACCCCCGTCACTACAAATCCACCAACTTGGGGCAGGTTGGGATGCTCCTCTTCCTGCTCATCCTCCTCCTACTGCTTCTGCTGCTCAACTCCACGACGCACATGATTTCCCGTCGTTCGTAACCTCAGCACAACGCCACACACCCTCCGCCGCCCCCCTGAGAGATTCATGCTGTAAATAATAATCCTCTCTCCTCACTTTTTCTCTCTCGCTGTCCTCCGAGAACTGGTGATATGTGAGTGTACCAATCTGGCTCTCTGAATCAATGGCATAAGACCATATATGACGACGTTGAGACTACACTGACACTCAACTGTTTGTGGTTGGTGGCTTCTGCTGTCGCCCAAATGAAGAATTTGTTTTATGAATTTTTGAGAATTTTGAGCCAGATATGGTAGATTGAATGTAATCGATAAGACCGTTCTCTGTGATGTTCTGAGATTATAAACACATCTTTTTTGGGGGTCAGATTACACTAAAGAAAATATAGGAAATAACGTTAATATGATAGTTACGAAAAGCAATAAGAATTTCATCAGTTTTTTTTTACTATAAGAGGATTCCGTGTGTCTCTTTAGGCGTTTCCATTGGTCGTACTGGCTCTTAAATTTTCCCGAAGCTCCGTAAATGAATAATAATGGAAATTAAAAAACTAACCTAACCTAACCAGACATGAATATAAACAAGGACTGATAACCCCCCCCCCCCCCGAGACTAACCTAACCTAATATAGTTATTTTATGGGTTTAATTTGTGTTCTTCATCCCAGTGCGGTCTTTCTCCTGAGCTTCCATTCTCATATTTCCACCCTGCACTCTCGTCTCCTTCCCTCCTTCACTACATCTCCTCCAGATTAATTATATCCTACTTCTCATCTTCCTCAGGTCGCCCGGACTGTGAGATCCTTTTAGATATTCCGCACAGAAAAAAAAAATCTTATCTTATAATAATTCGTGTTAATCCCCAGGGCTGTCTAGTGACTTTCCTTTATGAGAAAAAAAATTAGACCGAGGTGTTATTGTCAGTATAAGGAATAAGAAAATACAAATAGATTTATTTTGGGGTTAAGTTAAGTTTTAGGACTTGTGTGTTGTGTTGTATTAATATTTAAAGATCAAACTACACGAATATATGACTTAGTTGTCTGTCTGTCTGTCTGTCCGTTACCATAGGTGAGGCCTAAAACAAGGGGCAAGAAAGATCTCCCTATACAAATATTACTAAGGTTGTGTATTTACCATCCTGAGTAAGTTGGTGTATGTGTAGCGAGCCTTTAATACTTCTTAAGGAATACCGTACTTCTAGGATTTGACTTACCAACATATTTCAAAACAAAAACAAACATTGAATTAATAACAACTTGATAAAAAAAACCTTCTCTTTTTTTAATACATAACGAATAAAAAAAAATGTAAGAGCTGGTAGGTGATACATTTGCTCTTATTTGTCTGTAAAGAGTAAGAGTGTTATTGACTTCATATAGCTGTTGTTGTGTTGTGGAGTATTTTGTGTTGACTTGGCGATAACCTAACAAAAATAGCGGTGGTTTAGAGGTCAAAAGTATCCCACATATGATCGAGTCAGCACGTAGAGTCTAGCGCCACGGAGCTTGTGTTGGCATTTGGGTATTAAAAGGATCAGCCACGTTCAAGATTGTCAGTGTGTGTGGAGGTGGTGTTTGACCATGGCAGGTACAGGTAATATTTATCACCTTTATAGTATTTCATGTTGATTAGGTTTATTGTTCTGGTCTGTCTTAACCATCTAGTAACCTTTAGTGATTACGTCACGTTAACCCTTTGTCGACGATGGTGATTTAACCCTTTGACGACGATGATGATTTAACCCTTTGTCGACGATGATGATTTAACCCTTGACGACGATGATGATTTAACCCTTTATCGACGATGATTTAACCCTTGACGACGATGATTTAAGACAGTCATCATCTTACGTGTGTCACGTGAACATCTCTCTATAATGTGCACCTTAATCCAGGGACCACACCTTACTCCAGGGGCCACACCTTACTCCAGGAACCACACCTTACTTCAGGGACCCACACCTTACTCCAGGGCCACACCTTACTCCCAGGGCCACACCTTACTCCAGGAACCACACCTTACTTCAGGGACCACACCTTACCCAGGGGCCACACTTACCCAGGGACCAGGGCCACACCTTACTCCAGGGGGGACCACACCTTACCCAGGGGCCACACCTACTCCAGGGGCCACACCTACCCAGGGACCACACCTACCCAGGGACCACACCTTGCCACACCTTACTCCAGGGACCACACCTTAATCCAGGGACCACACCCTCCAGGGGCCACACCTTACTCCAGGGACCACACCACTCCAGGGCCACACCTTACAGGACCACACCTACTCCAGGGACCACACCTTACCCAGGGCCACACCTTACTCCAGGAACCACACCTTAATCCAGGGACCACACCTACTTCAGGGACCACACCTACCCAGGGACCACACCTTACCAGGTGACCACACCAATCCAGGGACCACACCTCCCAGGGACCACACCTTACTCCAGGAACCACACCTTAATCCAGGGACCACACCTTACTCCAGGGGCCACACCTTACTCCAGGAACCACAACTCCAGGGACCACACCTTACTCCAGGGGGACCACACCCCAGGGACCACACCTTACTCCAGGGACCACACCTTACTTCAGGTGACCACACCTTAATCCAGGGACCACACCTTACCCAGGGCCACACCTTACTCCAGGAACCACACCTTAATCCAGGGTCCAGGGGGAACCACACCATCCAGGGACCACACCTTCCAGGGCCACACCTCCAGGGCCACACCTTACCCAGGACCACACCACTCCAGGAACCACACCTTACTTCAGGGACCACACCTTACTCCAGGGGCCACACCTTACCCAGGGCCACACCTTACTCCAGGAACCACACCATCCAGGGACCACACCTACCAGGGACCACACCTTACTTCAGGTGACCACACCTTAATCCAGGACCACACCTTACTCCAGGGGCCACACCTTACTCCAGGAACCACACCTTAATCCAGGACCATTACTCCAGGGCCACACCTTACTCCAGGAACCACACCTTAATCCAGGGACCACACCTTACTCCAGGGCCACACCTTACCCAGGGGCCACACCTACCCAGGACCACACCTTACTCCAGAACCACACCCTCAGGACCACACCTTACCCAGGGACCACACCTTACTCCAGGAACCACACCTTACTCCAGGAACCACACCACACACCTTACTCCACGGACCACACCTTACTCCAGGAACCACACCTTAATCCAGGGACCACACCTTACCCACCACACCTACTCCAGGGCCACACCTTACTCCAGGGACCACACCTTACTTCAGGGACCACACCTTAATCCAGGGACCACACCTTCCTCCAGGGGCCACACCTTACTCCAAGGACCACACCTTACTCCATGGGCCACACCTTACTCCAGGGACCACACCTTACTTCAGGGACCACACCTTAATCCAGGGACCATACTTTGCTCCAGGGGTCACACCTTGCTCCAGGGACCACACCTTACTCCAGGGACCACACCTTACTCCAGGGACCACACCTCACCACAACAATCTTGTTAGGAGTTGATCGTCCCGAAAGTTTCATCATTGAATGTGACCACTTCACGGATCCTCAAGGACCCTCAAGGACCCCCAAGGATCCCCAAGGACCCTCAAGGACCCCCAAGGACCCTCAAGGACCCCCAAGGACCTTCTAAGGACCCACAAAACTTGGAACAAAAACCTTACTCTAGTGGCCAGTGTAATTTTATCTCCACCAACCTGACCTTATGAGTGGAGTAATGAAACCCCTTACCTGTGGAGCAAGTCATTACAGGTATACTTCTGACCCCCCCAAAAACATGTAGTCCGCCTCTCTGTCTGAAATAGTTCAAATGTGAAATATATTAACCAGATTAACTTTATAGAGACGTCTCCTTTCGTATAATTGCTTCGTTATTGTTATGTTGAGGTTAGGTTAGGTTGACGTTAAGAGAGACTAATAATTGTTATGAAGTTCCTTTACATCATAATTAAATGGTTCATGTTATATAATTTTAATTGTTTGTTTATCCCTTGAGCGTGAGTGAGGACTGAGTCAACACCGACGTGACTCAATGCACCGTAAAGAAGCCAAAGTCGAGCTGTAATGACTGTTTTTTTCATCAGATCAAACCTGCTGGAGATCACGACTGAGCGAGGATCATCCAGCAGCCGGATTTAATAAAAAAATAAATAAAATATCCACATAACTTTTGAAATATATAAATAAAAATACTTAGAGCTTCATTACATCACATTAATAATCTCTGACATTGAGAACGTTATAGTTTTTACTTGTGATGGAATTAAATGAGAGTGTAGCAATATATTCTTCTCAGAGGATACACTAGCGGTCTATGGTTTAATTACAAGTTGATGATGAAACAATTTAAGGCACCAACACTGTGAAACAAGACTTATGATATTGATATGATTTTTTTTATTGTTGATTTGTTTTTAAATATTATAAATGGACGTCATTCATTCCATTTAGACCCGATTACCTCAATATTTAGGGAGGGAAAGGTCAAATAACACAAAACTCTGGCCAATAGTTGTATATTATTTAACAAAAAAAAAAAGACTGAAAAATAACGTGCAACAGCCCTGACCCGCCGAAACGATTGGAAATTTGAACTTGTTTGTTGACCTGACTAGGGTCGGGAGGTCAAACATTGCCGCGCTATCTTTTTAACACAATTTTTCTTTATATTGTAGCCAAATTTTACTTTACTCTACACAATGATTTTTTTTTGTTCTTGATTAACAAAGAGAAAGTGATTCAGAGTGTGTGATTTGACCTGACGGTATACAGAGATGGTAGGGAGGGAGGGGAGAGAGAGGGGGCAGGGGAGGGGAGTGAAGGGTGAGGGGTGAAGGGGTGAGGTGAAGGGTGAAGAGTAGGGGGTGAAGGTAAGGGTGAAGGGTTGGGGTGAAGAGTAGGGGACGAAGGGTAAGGGTGAAGGATTAAATTGAAGAGTAAGGGACGAAGGTAAGGGTGAAGGGTGGAGGGTTAAGGGGTAGGGGTGAGAGTAGTGAAGGGTGAGGGGTGAAAGGTGGTGAAGGGTGAGGTGAAGAAGGGTGAAGGGTAGGGGTGAAGGGTAGGGGTTGAAGAGTAGGGGGTGAAGGGTAGGGAGGGGTAGGGGTTAAGGGTAAGGGTGAAGGGTTGCAGTGTGAAGGGTAGGGGGGTGAAGGGTAGGGGTGAAGGGTGAAGGGTGAAGGGGTGGGGTGAAGGGTAGGGGGTTGAAGAGGGTGGGTAGGGAGGTGAAGGGTAGGGGTTAAGGGTAAGGGTGAAGGGTTGCGGTGAAGGAGTGGGTGAAGGGTAGGGGTGAAGGGTAGGGTGAAGGTAGGGTGAAGAAAGGGGTGAAGAGAGGGGGGTGAAGGGTGAGGGTGAAGAGTAGAAGGTGAGGGTGAAAGAAGAGAAGGTAGGGGTGAAGGGTAGGGGTTGAAGAGTAGCGGTGAAGGGTAGGAGGTGAAGGGTAGGGGGTTAAGGGTAGGGTGAAGGGTTGCGGTGAAGGTAGCGGTGAAGGTAGGGGGTGAAGGGTAAGGGGTGAAGGGGTGGGGGTGAAGGGTAGGGGTTGAAGAGTAAGGGTGAAGGGTAGGAGGTGAAGGGTAGGGGTTAAGGGTAGGGGTGAAGGGTAGCGGGTGAGTAGGGGGTGAAGGGGGGTTGAAGAGTAGGGTGAAGGTAGGAGGTGATGGTAGGGGGTTAAGGGTAAGGGTGAAGAGTAGGGGGTTAAGGGTAAGGGTGAAGGGTAGGGGGTAGGGGAGGGTGAAGGGTGAAGGTGGGGTGAAGGGGTTGAAAGGGTGAAGGGTAGGGGGTGAAGAGTAAGGGTGGGGGTGAAGGGTGGGGGTGAAGGGTTGGGGTAAAGAAGGGGAAGGAAGGGTGAAGGTGGGGGTGAAGAGTGGGGTGAAGGGAGTGAAGATAGCGGGTGAAGGGTAGGGGGTGAAGGGTGAGGTGGAGGGGTGAAGGGTAGGGGTGAGGGGTGAAGAGAAGGGTGGGTAGGTGAAGAGTAGCGGGTGAAGGGTAGGGGTGAAGGGAGGGTGAAGAGAAGGGTGAAGGGGTAAAAAGGTGAAAGGATTTTACCAAGAGACGAAACATTGTCCGTAAAGGAATTCATAAGGCTAATTAAGTATCAGAATAATACTCTTCAATCACCTAGATGTGAGTTCAGAGATGCATTGAGGATTAGCCTTTAGGTCCAACCACACAATTCTTACACGGTACTGTGACCTGTGTGACCCAACTGAGGTAAGGTCAAAGTTCAGGGTCAAAATGATTACACTACGGATTACACAACGGATGCATGACATAATATGCGTCACCCGGTTATTGCTGGACAGTTTACAGACAATCAACGTAATGGAGACACAAACAGACAGACCAATAAATATAAAATATCGCTCGTTTGATGTAATGATCTTTGGCTCTGACTTATTATCCTCACACTGACCTCTGGTGGGGAGTGAGACGACCTACAACGGGGAACACTGAGGTACAATTCTTGGCACATCACAAGCTGGCGTCAGTGTGTCAATACAGCCATATGAGAATTATATACTGCATTATTTTTCTCAAACCACAAATCCCTCCCTCCACCGATTTCCATTAATAACAGTCGATGTAATTATTTCTGTAACTTAAAATGCATAAAACTGATTAAAGTAATTACTCCATTATGCATATTATATTCGACCAGTAATACCCATGAGAAAATTACTCAAGGGTCAAATCCTATCGTAAATAAGCAAGAATAAATTATTCTAAATAATATCTCTCTAATTAACGGACAGACTCACGAATAAAAGCCGTCTGTTGCATGATTTTGTCTTATAGGGAGAATATTGTAACACAGAAACAGTACATCATGGCCAGGTCAGGTCTGAGGGTCGGCAGCCATGGCCCTCCACTTCAAACGTTTTCGGGCGTTATTGATCAATGCTCTTATATTTTTATGTCTCCCGAGGCCCAGTGGAGCTAAGAACAATACTCTAAATAACTTCACAAAAATTTTCACACGAATAAATCTCTCGTATGAGATATTAACTAAAGGAAATATGTGTTTTTTTATCATTTCACAAACCGATGAAATGTGAAAAGTTTACGCGGCCAAATTCTAGTCCAATATTTCAAAGAGTTTCTCAAGTACATCAGTGAAAAATTTACCCGACAGAATTTCTCTAAAAATATGAAAGACGAACAAACATTTAATTATAGCTTAAAATAGACACGAGTCGCCCTGTAGTTTTATGTATATGGCGGTAATCACTGTAGGGAAGTTACCCCCTTGAGTACGACGACTAACCCGACGAGTATACGAGTTAAACCATGTGTAGCACGTGAGACAGTGGCAGGTGATAACAGGTGAGAGATAGTGGCAGGTGACATCAGGTGAGAAATAGCGACAGGTGACATCAGGTGAGAGATAGCGACAGGTGACATCAGGTGAGAGATAGCGACAGGTGACATCAGGTGAAAGATAGCGACAGGTGACATCAGGTGAGAGATAGCGACAGGTGACATCAGGTGAAAGATAGCGACAGGTGACATCAGGTGAGAGATAGCGACAGGTAACATCAGGTGAAAGATAGCGACAGGTGACATCAGGTGAGAGATAGCGACAGGTGACATCAGGTGAAAGATAGCGACAGGTGACATCAGGTGAGAGATAGCGACAGGTGACATCAGGTGAAAGATAGCGACAGGTGACATCAGGTGAGAGATAGCGACAGGTGACATCAGGTGAGAGATAGCGACAGGTGACATCAGGTGAAAGATAGCGACAGGTGACATCAGGTGAGAGATAGCGACAGGTGACATCAGGTGAGAGATAGTACGAGATAAAACCAATAACCGGAAACCCACTTATTCAACAATATGACGTCACGGATTAACATTCATTCTGACGTCACCAATTATCACCCTTTCACCACTCTGACATCACACAACGTCACACATTCACCTCCATTACGTCACGTTCAACCATGGGCACATCAGCTCCTTCCTCAAAGGCTGGGGGAGGAGGCAAATATTTACGAGAGTCATGATGCACCTGGTGTCCACTAAACAAAATCCAGAGTAAGGAAATAAAACGAAAGAAAAAATAGTGAATCTTTGATGATGATGATGATGAGAGAGAGAGAGAGAGAGAGAGAGAGAGAGAGAGAGAGAGAGAGAGAGAGAGAGAGAGAGAGAGAGAGAGAGATCAGGAATATTTCACTGAAGGAAAAAATAAAAAATAAAGGGACGAACAAAAGATAAAACGCTTCTCACTTGCACTTGACATCTGTGGGGGAAATAATCACTTGAGCTTTTGACAAATTATTATTAGTTTTTACGATCAGTTTAAGATGGCGTGATGATGATTACTGCTATAATATGTTCGTGGAGATTGACTGGTTAATTTACACAGAGGTAGAGCCGCCTGCACTTATACCTGACACAGTAGCTGGATCGTTTTGTGAGGAGATGTGGCACCTCTGTTTGTTTACATCGTATTAAAACACCCGGAATGGCCTCTAAATGATAATGGTGATGGCAATAGTTGTGACAGGGTGGTGGTGGTGGTGGTGAAGATCATTTGTTGATGGTAAATAAACTTATGTTACACCTCTCACATTACTTTTTAACCCATTTTTTTTAACCTCTTATTAATCTCAAGAAACTATAACCTCACTCCTCTTCCAAACCCCCAAGGAACCTTAACCGTACATCTCTTTACA